CATCCACCTTGCAGCACTGCTTGGTTCAGACACACCTGAGCTGACAAAGGTGCTCCCAATGGCACCGAACTGCTCAGAAACCAGTCATTGGTGTGATTCATGAATCGGATGTTCCTCTACCAGTCTGTCTCCTCAACAGGCACAGCCCACAGGATGTGCTGAGACAAGTCCCCCCCCAAAGTCTGTCTCACCCTGACACAGCGGGTGGCTGGCATAAAGCACGTGTTCGGGAACTGAGCAGATTGAAATGTGAACACATCAACAGTGTGGAGGTACTTTCAGTAGATGGACAAGTCCACTAGCAGAGATGAAGCTGAACAAAGAGGCTTTCAAGGCCTTAGGGACACCTAAAATTTAGTTTTGGAAAATAAAGTTGCAGTCCTTCTGCCTTTCATACACTACTCTGAGCTGCTGTGAGGAATACCATGATCCAGCCCCATATATCGATCAAAACATGATAACAAATTACAGACTCTTGTATCAGTTTGTCATTCTCCGAGTGATTGCAGAGATACACTCTGAGCTGATGAATTATTTAAAACAGATGCAGTACATTTTAGAAAATGGATTTGATTAAGTGGCAAGATATTATGAAGAAAACTGAGACAAAAGCCTAAGAGAATCTATTTGCATAAAATATAGCATGCTTCCTGTCTGATGATAATTTTGAGTAAACAGACGAATTAGTAGGTAGACTGATAGATTGTCCACTTGGAAGACATATTTACATAGGAAACTAATATAAAATGCAGAATGGTCTTGCTAAGCAAGACATATTACGCTCTCTCCACTCCATCCACAAAACAGGCAATGAAAAGGAATGGGGCTTTTTTTCAGCTTCAACCTTCTCTTCTTTCCTAAGCCCTGGACTGTGTGCTGTGAGGGTATATTTTTGCTAAAGCACTACAGATATATCACTTTGTAAATGTTACTGAAGCTTACCAGGTCTGCCTAAATCTCTGTATAAAACACACTCTAGATGGTCATGGCTTTCCTGGCTTATCACAGTATGTAGAGCTTTGTAGGGAGAAGTTGGGTCCTTTATCAGACGAGAACTGGAAGAGCTGTTTGAAGACATGAGTGCCCAGGAGCTTGTCTGGGCTTCTTCCCAACAAAGCCAGTTGTCTACAAACCTTGTCTTGATATTCTTAGGCATGCAGGCTACTATTGCATGAAATACATAAACTTATCTTTGCACTGAATATGGAAAACTGCTCTCACATATTGCCCTATTATTATGTACTGATTTTCTTTCTTTCTCTTTATTTCTACTGAAAAACATCAATATCATTTATTTGCATATTTGCTTCACAGAAATCACAAAGAAGCTCTTACTTAATTGCAATGCATATGATCATATTCACCTAATATAGTACTCCCCTGCTGTTTCAATTGGACATCTGTCTTAAACTGTTGTAGTGGGGAGTAAACAGTGTATTTCATCTTAGAAATGGCCCTGTTGAATGATATGTGAATGTTCAGTTAATTTCCATCTTCTCTTCCACAGTACTTCTATCCTTTGCTTTTTATTTTCCTTAATAAAAAGTCACGTTTAATATTTAAACTCACAAAAGTAAAAAAAAAGAAGGTTAATAAAACAGTTTGTGATTTTCCTTTCCTCTCCCTCTCCTTCTTCCCTCTCCTCCTTCTCCCCTCCCCTCCCCTCCTCTCTCCTCCAAGGCTGGAAGAAAGACTTACATCAGAGCATAGCACTTCTGGCTCAAGTCTAGCCTGGATATTGACTGCTGGCAGTTTGCTTCTATATGGATTCATCACTATTGATTTTTGGTCCAGGTTTAAGACATGGGCATACATCACTTTCCCCACGTTAGTCTCCTACAGACTTCCTAGCTCCCCCAGGGCTAACAGCTGAGCTCTTCAGTGCATGAGTACAACTCCCACCCCAGCAGGCCTGGGGGTAGGAAGCCAAATGTGAGCTAGAGGGTGCATGTGCACTGCAGGCTGCAGAGGCTCCTGAAGACGCAATCTTAAATGGGAAGGATGAACAAGCGCCTGTCGAGCTCCATGCTGCTACGGGGGGACTGCTTCCTTCCAGCTGCTCTGCAGCGCAGGCGAGAACAGTCTCTTCTGCACAGCCGTGCAGACCATAGCTTGCGGTGGAAAAGAGAAGCAACCCCAGATAGAATCGCAGAATCGCAGAATCATTTCGGTTGGAAAAGACCTTTAAGATCATCAGGTCCAACCATTATCCTAACACTGCCAAGCCCACCACTAACCCATGTCCCTAAGCACCACATCTATACGTCTTTTGAACACCATGGGTTCATAGGCTGATATCCTGAAACTGGGCTATGTCCCCTTCTTTCTGAATCGCTGTGGATTTCTCAGGGGAGCCAGATGCCCTAAAATATGGACAACTTTCCAGCAGATTTCTTGAACAACCACATAGTAACCTGCTCTTGCAAAAGTGCCCTGAGACGGTAAAGAGGAAGAGCATTTGGCTTTTTTGACAAAAGTGGCAAAAAGAGAATTTATACAGCTTTAGTAAAAGGATGCTGAAAAGCCTTACACGGATTTCTCCTTTCCAGTTGCAAAGGAGTATACAGTGGAACAGTTTGCCAACTTTTTATTTCACATAAAAACAATAAAAAGGTTAATGTTAAGAAACAGAAACTAAGATCAATGTAACAACAGTTTAATTCAGAGGTATGTACAGTGAGTACTGGGAGTGAAACCAGTTACCCTTATCTTGAACAAAGCACCCTTCTGAAGGAAAATACCTGTTTATTGAGATTGAAAACTGACACCAGTCAATACGCTGACCGGTGTCCTAGTAAGCAACAGGCGGCGTAAGCTCAGATTCACCAAAGTGATCTGAACTTCCCCAGTAGTGGGAGCAGTAAGTGCTTAGCATCTTTGCAAAATTGCCTCTCTCCAGTTTAATACCCCACATCAGAGTCACCCGAGACACTTGTGCTCTTTAACTTATCTGCAGTCTCATCCTCCCTGCCCACACATACACGTACGTATAAAATGGAAATAACAATTTAAACTTATCTACATAAATACGGCTCTGAAAGGCACTAATGTATGTTACTGCCTGAATCAGGAGAGCGCTTATGCACAGCACATGTTCACATCCAAGTTGCATGGGGAGAAGAGTTTTAAAGTTTGGGTACAAGATCAGGTTGAATTGAGGAGATTATTATAGACAGAGACAAGAGAAAATTTACATTAAGAATGATCCAGGAGGCAAAAGGGAAAGGACATGGAAACCAAGTGGAGAAAAAGAAAGCTCTGAGAAGTGGATGGTTCACAGTTACTTTAGGCAGCAGTTTAAGTTTCTCAGCTTTGAAAATGGAAATAACACTCACTTATCACCAAGAGGTGGGTTGGTAATTCATGTTGAAAAGTGCTCAGAGATTCTTGGAAGAAAGGTACTTTTGGAAATGTAAAGCGTCCTTGAAGCATTTGTTATTTTGCCACAGTGTGACTGTGGACTTCAAAACTGCTACTAAAAAGTGATGTAGAAGGAAAGCAGCAACACATCCCATAATGAAGACTTGGCCAACCCCAGTATTTCTGCCTGTGACACCATCCATAGACAAATACTGGTGGGAAGAATAGGTAAGAAAAAAATCTTAAGTGTGTATTTTACTAGGTCTTTTACCTGGAAAAGCTAGTTTTGCTAAGCGTACAGTATAGTGGCATAATCAGTTTAGGACTTTGTGTTTATTCGCATTTTGTTTCCCCTGGGAAACTGTAACCAAGCTTCCAGAATGATGAAACCAGCACCGAGGAAGTCAGCAAAAAAGAGTGACATGTTCTAGTTCATGACAGTTATGCTCAATTAGCCCTGTACCTTTCCTTCAGGATCAGAAGTGGTTCACCTTAAAATGTTTCTCTGTCTGCTTACTGTGTTACAGCAAGTGCCTTCAAATCCTGCAGTCACACTACTTGCCCGCTTCCAGACTTGTGTCTTTAATGTCACTCCATGACTCAGTTCCTTGGGCTGCCAGCGACCAGCGCTTCGCAGAAGGGAGGTGTATGGAGATGCACCCGAAGTCTTTCCTTTTTGGTCCATCTCTGTGCCTCTCTGAGATTTTCTGCTTAGGTTGACAGCATGTCTCAGTCTCTTTCCAGATTGTTAATGACTTACAAAGCTGAGAGCGTGGTTGTTGGCATTCCCTTTACTTCATGTCTTCTGCCTGCAAGTGCTAAGGAAAGACAGAAAGATTTAAGATACATTCAGACCATAAGGACAAACTGTTTAGAGACTGAAGTCTGGTCTTTTTACTTCTCAACTTTTAAGGTAGGAATTCTGCCAAGAACTGGATTATCCTATCCTGTTTTACTCCGGTTTATTTGCCTGTGCCTGAAGAAGAGGTGGAGATAGCAGTGCCTTCATTGTACCCTATGCTATACATTGCATTCCTGATGCATTTACGGAACCAAACCCAGGCCAGCTCTACAAATGAATACTAGAGAAAGTCAGACCTGTTCTGCCAGTCAGAAACACACTGCTCTTAGCACGGCAGACTATTGGATATGGGTTGTGTGTGTGTGTGTGTGTGGTGACACCCTTCCCTAAGGACCTCCTTCAAGGGAATGTATGGAAGTGAGTGCATACTACAGAACCCTGTCAGCTCGCCATTAAGCCTTGCTACCAGGAAGCCGGGATTAGATTCACTGAACAACATGTTCTTGTCCTTGTCCCAGTAGTGCTAGTCTAGGTTCCTGTCCTAGTCTGTGTGTACCTCCCTTGACCAAAAAAACCTCTGTGGAGAACTGTAGTTGGGTCATTTCCATTTCTTGAGACCAGTACTCAGCTTAAATCTGGAATTGTGCTCTTCAGCCTGTTTTAGAGGTGGAGAAGGAAACAAATCCAACTTTTCAGGGGTGACATTTTGCAGATATAAGGGATTTTTTCCCTCCTATAACACAAAAGCAGCCCTTATAGCACCTACACAACAGCAGCAAAGACATCTACTTACCTTCCCACATCATGAAATCCAACAACGAAATACTGTTCACTCCTCTTACAAAATTCGGCAGTGCCTGTAGTGCCTCTTTCTCCTCCTTTTCTCATTTAATGCACATTGGCTAATGATCTCCAGGGCTGTATCAACACCTTCTTTTGTCTTGGCAGAACACTCCAGGTAAGCGTATGCCCCAATGCTGGCAGCCAAAGCTTTTCCTTCTATAGTGTTAATTGGCTCGTTGCCTGGAGTAGTTAGTTTCTCCTTAATACTTTCATCACCCCTTAGTTCTATCTTGGTAGCCACCAGAATAATAGGTACTGTGGGGCAGAACATTCTGATTTCTGGAACCCAAAAATCAAGGACGTTTTGCCGTGAGTCAGGCCTGTCCACGGAGAAGCACATTACAATAACATCGGTGTCCCTGTAGAACACTGAGCGGAGATTTCGGTAACTGACTTCATTCTTCCCTGCCACATCGAAGAGAATTAGTTTCATCTCTTTCCCATCTACCTCTGTGTCAGTGGTGTAGACATCAAACAGAGTTGGCTCGTAGGACATGGGAAGCTGTTTGTGACACAGAGCGAAGAGGAGGCATGTCTTACCACAACGGTCATCTCCAACTACAGTTAGCCTTCTTCTAAGAGCAGCCATTCCTTGAAAACCAAGACAAAGTACAAAATGGATTATTCCCATGCTGGGCTTTTTTTTTTTTTTTCCCCTAGCTTTCGTGCAGGGCAGAAGGAGGAGAGGAGAGAAATCCCATTAGTTTGGAATTCTTCCCTTTATCTCCTTGTTTCTCTGCATACTCCTGTCTTACCTTTGTTCCCTATTTTTTCCCCTTTTAATTTCTCTGGTATCAGAATCTTCTGAAATTGTGGGTACCTTGCTCTTGACTATTATTATAGATCAACAAATTAAGGTATAAACCAAGTCTGGATGTAACCAAGACTCCTGCAGTGCCCTATATTTCTGTTTTATCATCTCAGACATTGTTTATGGTCGGTGTTCAGTCCATAACAGATTTCATTTTCTAGATTGAATGACTTAATTTTGTGAGTGAGATGGAGTATAAAACACTGTACTGAACTACTATCCAAATCGGGTTTATTGACTACATTTTCCTGCCATGGTCTGCTAATGCAGTTCTCCCAATGGTGGTGGTTATCCTGTGTAAGACCACACTGCTTTTGCTCATAGATCTGTTGTTACATGAGAGATAAGAAAGTGTTGTCAGTCTTCATATATTCATGGTTAATTTATATGAGATAGAAGTTTGTTAGACTTACAGGGCAGCAATTTCCAGCATCAACCTTCTTCTCTTTCTTCTCTTTCTTGATGTTCAGTATTAGACTGGCTTCTTCTAATATTGTTGCCGCTTCAGCTTCCTTAGGTCACTGGTTCCCCTGCAGAGAGAACTTACCACCACTCTTCAAAGACTGTCATGATGACCACAGTATTTAAAGGAATAGGTTGATGTTTCTTAATATAGCCAACCAATCTACAAAGAGAACCCGATGACATCATCATTTTTTAAAGAAACTTACTTTACTGGCAATAAAGTGGAGGTTACACAATTCATTAACAAATCAGAGCATGTTTACTTTAGAAATTTCCTTGTTCCTATTGCAAAAGACTCATCCTGAGTGAGCATTTCAGTACTGAGCGTGCCAAACTACTTGTATGCGGGAAGCTGACAGTACGAGAGTGTAAAACAGCAGTAGACCTACCACAGACCCTCAAGACACCCCTTTGCAGATCTGCTGAGGCATCGTAGAGAAATGACTTGCAGAATCAGAGAATGGATGAGGTGAGAAGGGGATCATCTAGTCCACCCTGCCCTGCTCAGAGCAGGATCAACTACAGCAGGCTGCTCAGGACTGTGTCCAGCTGGGGTTTTAATATATCCATGGATGAAGACTCCATAGCCTCTCTGGGCAGCCTTTTCCGGTGTCTGATCATCCTCAAAGTAGTGAAATGAAGTCTATCAACTGGGGAGTCTAAAGAGAAAGAACTGTCCAGTGTTAAGGATACTGTCTTGAACTCTAGAGATGAAGACTGAATTCCCTGCTATCCTGTTGGCATTGGACAAGGAATTTCTACTGTCTCTGTAAAGACTGCAAGGTGCCTGCAACCACTAAAAATTGAGAACAAAGGGATCTGGAGGTAGATTAATTTAGTCTCTCTGCAGAGACAACTGTTTCCAAAGGCATTACTGGTGATGCAGATACGCAACTGCTGATTAGTATAGTTGTGTGGTCAGCACATTTATTTCATACAGCTACAGAAGAGTTCTTCACCTGACATGAGGGGTGTTAGGTCTAAAAAATTTAGTCTAAGGACGAGCAACTTGCTTTTGTTTAATTTGAAGTCAGCTGGAGACCTGAGGCCACTTCAGTTTTCTGTGGTGGTCTAATTTTACTCTGCCAGGCCATATTTCCTGAGTCCTATTCAAGTATGAATCTGATAGTCTTGCCATAAGAACTTTACAAAATTAAAGTCATCAGCTTCTGACTTGCCCCACTTGTTCCCTGGAAGAGTAACGACAGTGGGTCCCATACAGCTCTTCAGGATCATGAAGGCATTTCTTGTTTGGGACAATGTGCTTTCACATGCACTGTACTTAGCCTAAACCACAGTATGAAAATACAGAGGTCTTTTTCACCTTGTCTTTTTGTGCCTTGGCATTCTGGTTTCTAGGTAGGTCAGTCTGGCTTCTCTGCTGAGAGCACTGATCACAAGGGGATCTAAGAGTTAAATTATTTGTTCCTTCAGGGACACTGGAAAGCAATGGACCTGCTGTGAAAAGCAACAAGCGACCTCGACCTCGTTCCTACATATGCCAGAAACTCTTAGCAGCTTAGAGAGACAGGTACTTACCATTTCTGCCTGTCCTCCCACTTCTACTCAGAGCTTTTTTCACACTAGCCTGTGAACTGCTCGTATTTAGCTAGCTCTTGCCTTGCTTACTTCACTGAGAAGCTTTGCCTGCATGAGGACTGCAGGATGCTCGTTGCTAGCGTTACAGTACAAGTCAGCATGCAGGACTCAGTATGCCATTACTGGCACATACGGCTCCCACAGCACGTTATGCCACAGCAGGCAACATACTTACTTGCCTACTTATTGACAAAAAGGAGAAAGATTACCTTCCCCACAGAGGTTTCACACTTTTGGTACAGATTCATACTTGAACACAAATTATCTGAGTTACAGACATGCCCTTTAGAAAATCTGTTTAGCAAAAAGAGCAGGGGGGAGGGATATAGTCTGGAAACAATCTCCAGTAATTGACTGGAATTGTCTTCTCAGCAACAAAAAATGCCAATTGGATTAAATCAAGCAAAAAACAAAAGGCTGAGTTTTAATCTCAAAACCACCAGCACAAGCAATGAAAGCAGAGAAGTGGTGTCTTCTTTCTCCTACTTCATGCTTTCTTCATCAATCATACAGATGTATGTGGGGCAGCAGAACTAAAGCTCTGCTTAGAACGTGTACATTTAGTGATTACTGGAAGTGAAGTTTCAGCTTGCTTAAAGAAGAGTAGTTTAGTATATCATGCAAATTCGATCAGAAAATATAAGTTACAACATAAAGTTCAAATTCAGCCCTAAAATATGTGAGCTGGCTACACTCCCTGGTGCCTTTCAGGCCATGACCATGCTTGAATACAGAATTGGTCCTGTATGAAGTTCCCTAAGGAGAGGAAAAATCCACCTCATCCCAGAGCCTCTTTTCACTATTTTCTTTCCAGGTTTTCCACCTCTGCTCTCAGGCACCGCCCCAAGAAGGAAGCCTAAGCACTTCCACAGGTTATTATCCACTGTGCTCATTTACAGTGCCGCTGCTGTGCCTCTTTCTGCTGCACTCGCAGCACTGCCATGCTGGTCAGATTTCCATTTTCCCTGGTGCATCGATCCAAGCAGGAAGAGAAAAGGCTTCCTACGTACAAGCCTACCCCTGATTTCCACTGTTCTCAAAAGGGGGTCACTTCATGCTTTCATGTATGGGCTGAAGTAAGAATGCTCCCGAGAAGAGAAGCAAATATATATAACTGAGAAGACACCACAAATTAAGGGCCTTCTGCTTGGACAGCTCAGGGATTGGACTGCACTGATATTTATGGGCTAAATCTGCTGCAGGAGAAAGGTGGCATGTAGCAAATTTACTTTAAGTGTGAAACCTGGGCCATGATCAAATCCCAGGTATTACACACTTGAGCGTAACTGTGTGATAACCACAGTGACTCAGATGTTCCTATTGCTGGGGTGCACCCTAGGACAGTGAAATGAATCTGATCTCAGCCTAAGCAAGTCACAGGGCTGGATCTCCCAACATAAAGCCTCCAAAAAGAAAATACAAAGCATTTGAAACCCTAGGTCAAGGAATTACATAGTCTTTGCTGCAGCCTTTCTTGCAAGGTGGGAGATGAAACATCAGCCCCTTTCCTTTCAGTGTAACTGCGTGGAAGACTACAGATGCTTCACCAGAAAAGCAAGCAGTTACAACTCAGACCATAACGGGGTGCTGGAACTATATCTGCACTGTTCAACTACAAGAAGGGTCCCTGCTATGGGTTTAACTTAACTGGGCCTTTGCTGAGTATTTTCTTAGCATAGTTTGGAAGTTGGGACCAGTAGACAGTTGGATGAGGCCACCCTGCTTTGAGGTCTAAAAGTGTTGAAGAGTAGGAATGTGGGCCACTTAGTTTGCTTTCTCTACACAGGTAATTGCTGGCAGAACTCTGGGTGAACAACACAGCCCTGTGCTTTGAAATGAATAAGCTGTGTATTTCCCTACCTTTCCTGGCAGCACAGATGAGATCATCAACATAATTACTCATTCGGATGATTCTTTTTTCTATTTAATGAAGTGTTTTGCTCACGAAAAGACAAAACCAAATATCCAGGTATGATGCTTCGTGCCACCCAGAAGTCAAATAAAACCGGATTCAAAAGCCTACTCAAGCAGCACCTCTCACGATCTATAAAGCACCTGCAGCTTTTCCTGCCGCCACCCCCGAGGTGGAGCTTTCCAGCTGAGGAGCCCGCAGGCAAGGCGGGGAGCCCGCAGGCAGGCTGGCATCCACGGCGGCGGGGTGGCCGCAAGGTGGCACCGAACTCCAGCGAAAAATCCGCCAGCAGCTGAACACCGCTGAAGAGCTTCCAGAGGCTTGGAACAGCCAAGTTGTCGAGAAGACTTGCATTATGCAGCAAATTAATTCTATCGGCCTGTCAGAATGGCTCTACGTGCTTGTGATTATATTTACAGGGAAAATAGCTACAAGCTGCCAATGCTCCATCGCCAGAAGGACATGCCAGCATGGGGAAGACTTCCACACAGCCCAATTTTTCTTTGTTTCGTGAAGAATTTCAGACTGCAAGCAGTAACAACAAATGTAAAGGGATATTGCAAATCAGAAATTTAGCCTGCTAAAAGGCCACAAGTGCTGTAGAACACCGATGCCTATGACTACACTTTACTTCTGTTTTATTTCCAAACATCAGTTTGAATTTATTATGTTCACTGCATGTAAAATATGCTGTACAAGCTATGTAAGATCAAGGTACAAATCCATCCATCGCCACCCAGGGACATGCTCTTTTGACAGGGAGAAACAGGAATCACAAAAGTCTCACAGAAGATTAATTATA